TTAAGTCAGGGTCTTGCTCTTTCACCCAGGCTGAAGTGCAATGGCACTATCTCACTGCAACCTCTGCCTTCTAGGTTCAGGCCTCCCAAGTAGCTGGGATTACAGGCAAGCACCATCCTGCTCAGCTAATTTTTAGTAGAAACAGGGTTTCACCATATTGGACAGGCTGGTCTCCAACTCCTGACTTCAAGTGATCCAACTGCCTCAGCCTCACAAGCTCAGCTAATTTTTGTGCTTTTAGTAGAAACAGGGTTTCACCACATTGGACAGGCTGGTCTCCCACTCCTGACCTCAAGTGATCCAACTGCCTCAGCCTCCCAAGTAGCTAGGACTGCAGGTACATACTACCATGCTTGGCTAATTTTTTAAAGTGTTTTTTAGAGACAGAATCTTGCTATGTTGCCCAGGCTGGTCTCAAACTCCTAGCCTCAAGCAATACTCTTGCCTCGCCCTCCCAAAGTGTTGGGATTATTCTAATTTTCTACAGCTCAGTACTAGTTTGGCGCCTAAGCACGCTTAGTAAATTTTTTCAATGACTCCCCAGTATTTTCTTTTTTTCCTTTTTTTATTTTTTTGAGACTGAGTCTCGCTCTGTTGCCCAGGCTGGAGTGCAATAGCGTGATCTCGGCTCACTGCAACCTCCACCTCCTGGATTCAAGTGATTCTCCTGCCTCAGCATCCCCTGTAGCTGGGATTACAGGTGCTTGCCACCATGGCTGACTAAGTTTTGTATTTTTACTAGAGACAGTGTTTCACCCTGTTGGTCAGGCTGGTCTCGAACTCTTGACCTTGTGATCCACCCACCTCGACCTCCCAAAGTGCTGGGATTACAGTCGTAAGCCACCACACCTGGCTTGATTCTCCAGTATTTTCTATTTCCTCTTTACTATAGTTAACTTTTGAAAAATCTGTTTGCAGCCCACTAAGTTTATTTTACATGCTTCAGTGAGTCTCAGCTTGCAGTTTAAAAAAACAGTAGAACCAAGCACAGTAGTTCACTCCTGTAGTCCCAGCACTTTGGGAGGCCAAAGCAGGAAGATTGCTTTAGGCCAGGTGATGAAGACCAGCCTGGGCAACACAGGGAGATGCTGTCTCTACAGAAAATAAATTAAAAAAAAAAAAAATAGCTGCTTGGGAGGCTGAGGCAGAAGGATTGCTTGAGCCCAGGAGTTGAAAGTTACAGTGAGCTATGATGCACTGGGCCACGAGCAAGACCCTGATTTTATAAAAAACAATAACAACACAGAGTTATAGGATACGTTCTTTGAACATCTCTTATATTCATGATAAGGGTATACATGTGGTTACATGTGGTCTTTTCCACATCTTTTCTTTCAGGGAGCAACTCACACTTTGCGATTGGGTTTGTGAAACAATCGTCAGCTGATTCAGTCATTTTTGCTGGTGTCAAAGGGAACAGCTCTGTGACCCAGTTCACATTATAATGCTTGGATGAATAGATATAGCCACAATATAAATAGGAAGATTAATATTAGCTCATACTTCGTTTAACAAAGCTCATGACTCAGCAACCCAGAAAATAGTTTTTAAAAACCATAGCACTTTTGAAATACTTGCCTAGCGGAAGGGAGGAGAGTATGATTTGATGAATTTAAGAACTATCTTGGCCGAGTGCTGTGGCTCACGCCTGTAATCCTAGCACTTGGGAGGCCGAGGCACGTGGATCACAAGGTCAAGATATCGAGACCATCGTGGCTAACATGGTAAAACACTGTCTCTACTAAAAATACAAAAATTAGCTGGGCATAGTGGCACGCATCTGTAGTCCCAGCTACTCAGGAGGCTGAGGCAGGAGAACTGCTTGAACCTGGGAGACAGAGGTTGCAGTGAGCCAAGATCGCGCCACTGCACTCCAGCCTGGTGTCTGGCAACAGAGCAAGACTCTGCCTCAAAAAAAAAGAGAAATATCTCAATTTACTTCCAAAGAGTAAAGTTTTGTATTTAATGTTTTAATATTTCATGTTTTAATTTCTTACAATTATTTAATTTTTCTAAAACCTCAAATTAGGTTTGAAAGTCTACTTACATAATTTCAGAGTTTATTCTGTTTGCCTAAAGGTGTGTTTTAACCACTGTGTACATAGTATTTAATGTTTTGCTTGTGGTTTTTTTTTCATATAATGGTTCATATGAACATCTGTATGTTCATACTTTTCTTGGCAAAGTTCTAAAGGTTACTGTGTTGAAACATACTGAATGAGTACTGATAATTTCTATTTTGAGCAACAAGTATGTCAGTTCTTTCTGTTTGATACTTCTCTTTTTTCCCCCTAGGAATCCAGAAATCCTTGTGGAATGCCTTACCCCTGATTTTCGAGGCAATCTCAAAGCAATAGAAAAAGTTGCTCTGTCAGGATTAGATGTGTATGCACATAATGTAGAAACAGTCCCAGAATTACAGAGGTGAATACTTGTACAAAGTAACGTTGGGAAGTTAGGAGGGTCAAAATACGCTGTATATTGTCACCTTTTCCAGGGGTGAACTTTGTCATTGACTTTTACAGAGTAAACTCTCTATTCTTTTTTATTTTTTAGGCAAACTCAATCTATTACATAAAAATCAGAAAATGGGCCGGGCGCGGTAGCTCAAGCCTGTAATCCCAGCACTTTGGGAGGCCGAGGCGGGTGGATCACGAGGTCAAGAGATCGAGACCA